AAGTAGCTGCTTGGTTTCTTAGCTAGATGTAAATGCTTCAATAACAGTCCTTCAAAAAAAAAAAAAAAATATATATATATATATATATATACATACAGGACTGCACATAACTTTTTCAGTGAGGTACTCAGATGAGTACCAGGAGATGGTGCTCCATTTGTCGCGTGGTGACTCCCAGTCTATTTCAGAACAGGTACTCCCATATTGCCAGCTTTTTCTGATGATTTTTACTGATTTTTCTAGACCCACAGAATATTGTGTACTATGACTATCTGAAATCCAAAACCAGATTCTGAAAGAATGGACGGTCTACTTTTATCAGCAAAACGAATTTTGTTTCTAGCTTGTTTCGTTCCCCTGTAATCCCCAGTTGAGTAGAGGGAAGTTTTACTGAAATCACCAGAAAGCTGAGAAAAAAGAGGCACCACATGTGTACCTAACTGTTTTCAAACCATTCATAGAGAAATGCTGCCACCTGCTGGCTAGATAAAATATGGTCTCAAGCTATTCCCATACATATTAGATACAATAGACATCAGGGAACGTAAAAATAGCGGGACACGCAATTGACGTACCCCTGTATACTGTATATATTAGTGCAAAGTTATACACTGTACATATAGGGCAGGATAGAGTGACAATGGCCCTCATTCATTAAACTCACATACATACGGCCAGATCAGGGTGTAAATGAGGCGTATAGCAAACGAAAGTACACTTTTTGGAAATCATCAATCTGGAATTAAGTGTACGGTACGCACAGAATATACACCAAGTCTGGAGGTGGTGTAAATGATTACGCTCATCTCAACCTTCATCATAGCACACCAAAACACGCATGAAACTCAAGATTTGGACAATAATAAACATATTCCCAAACTGGCAAAATTATAAAATGCGTTTCCATTGAGCATCAAATTTCGAAATTTGAATTTGTGCATCAGAAAATGTGGTAAAATCATAAGATCAAAATTTGAATTTGCGCATCAGAAAATGTCTAATGGAAACATTGTTGAACATTCAACATTCAAACATTTTTAATAAATCCCAGTTCATGATGAGGACCCTCTTCTGTTTCTTTTTTAAATCCGACTTGTATGTGTATTATTTTCTTCTGTAAGTTTTTTCTAAATGTGAAGTGCTTTGTGATTCTGGTCTGTGAAAGGCGCTATACAAATACACTTGACTGACTTACTTCATGTGTGACCCATCTATTTCTCTGTAAATCTGTGGCAGGCCCTACTCTGCGTAATTACGCATGGCTATTTGTTTTGCCTCATTCACATCTGGCAAAGCAATATATTTTTTCATTAGTTTTGTGAAAGCCTCACACATCTCATAAACGCACCGATGGACTGTGGTATTGCTCACTCCAAATGTCTCACTGTCCTGTCCACAAGTAGCAGTTTATAGATAGGATGGCAACGCGCTTATCTCTTGGGCTGTGCGCCTTCTCCAGGCTGAGGCTCAGGTTGTAGATGTAGCTGAGGACCTCAGAGAGCTGGTCTGCACAGATCTTCAGCAGCCTGGGACTGATCCGGTCCTGTGGATTTCTCCTGCTTCAGTCGCTGGAGTTGACTCCTCACCTGGTCCGGTGAGATGGAAAGGGGGGGAACCGGGGTGTCTTGTCAGAGGTGGGGGCTGGGGATGTGGGGGCAGGGGGGCTTAGGGCAGTTGAAGGCAGTGTCCACCGGGCTGGAGACGTGTGAAGAAGTGGCGGTGGGAAGGGGACATGGAGAGGGGAGAGAATCGAACTTGTTGAAATATTGGTTAAATTCATCCACCCGCCGCTGGTCTCCATCTGCTGTCCCTGTGGCACTCTGTCCGAATTCGGAGATGTTCTTTAAACCTCTCCACGCATCACGGGCGTTTCCGTGTGCCAGCTTCTGCTCCAGCTTTTCCCCATAGACTTTCTTGGTCCTCCTGATCCTCCACCGGAGTTCGTGCTGGATCCTCTTCTGCTCCTCTTTGTCCCCTGAGATGAAAGCACTTTTCTTAAGGTTCAGGAGAGCTTTAAGCACAGGGGTCACCCATGTGTGGTTGTTTAGAAAAACACCGTACCTTCCTAGTCGGTACAGTGTTTTCCATACAGAAGAGAATATAGTCTGTTATGCAGTGTGTCAGTCTTTCGATGCCATCTCCATGAGAGCTGCAGTTCATATCCCAGTCTGTGCGTTGGAAAAGATCTCTCAGTCTTTCCTCTGCCTCTTCACTGTCTTCTCACCATAGGAGTGTATTCCGGTGATAAAGGTACCACGTAGGGTATGGTCTCAGACCGTGAGCGCCCGAGCGGGGGGAGGGGGGAGGAGGCGTATGCGTCTCGGACAATAACACATAGTAAGTCCAGAGTCTTATTCTACCGCGTGGGACACGTGACGAACTGCATGAATGTAGGGAGAGTAGCGGAGAGGGAGGCATGGTTAAAGTCTCTGCTGATCAAGATGAGAGCACATGGCCTATGGGTCTGGATCTGGGTCTCGGTTCTGTGGATGTGCTCACAAGCAACAGGAGCGTTTGATAATGGAGGATTGTACACACACACAGAACCACAATGTTCAAAAACTCAAAAGTGCCGAAAACATGATAAATCTAACAAAAAGTCAAGGCTTCCTGTGTGCAGGAATGCACAATGTAATGCCTACTTTAAAATAATGTTAAAAAAACACATCTACAAGAAATTAATAGAGGAAAGATCTGAAAGCGGAGAGAGCCGCTGTGAAGTAGCTGAAAGTAGCTGAACAGCGGGGCGGGGGAACAGCGGGGGAATGGCGCCGGATTCAGCACCAGATTATTTGAAGATTGTGCTGTATGATAGGTGTGGAATGATGCTCAGGATGGCAGCAGTTGATGACTTATCATAGCATTAGCAAGAAAGGATGCCACCATGAAATTTATCCATGCATGCGCTGACGAAGAAACGCCGAGCTGCTAGGATAGCCATGGTGCAAGACCTGATGTATGGAGAAAGGTAGATCTAGATCTGCAGCCTAGGTGCTGTATGGGAGAATGAGGAACACTGTACACTGGCTGTACCTGGTGTAAAGATGGGGAGACATAACTGAGGGGATTCGAATTTGGCTCCAGAGTGCGGCCAGGTGGAAGGTTTCAGGGGTGAGGATTTGAAGCAGTTGAGACACTAGAAAGCGTCAATGAGATTCATTAATGCCACTTACCCAGGGAGATTGATGTTCTCGGGACACATAAAACTGTAGCCAAACTGGCCCGGGTGCGTCAAGGAAGGCGGTCTGTGGAAAATTAACAAGGAGCAGCCGCTGACGGCCACATAGCCGGCGCCTGCAGATTGGACGCGAGCCATCAGCAAGTGAGCAAATAGACCTTGCTGCATGCATTTGCCTCCAGCAGGTCAGAACGCCAAAGCTGCTCACCGGCCACTCCAGAGTGTGAAAACAGCACCAGTACGTCCAGATGCCGCAGCTACGGCCCGGCTAAAACCATATAAAAATGTCTGTCCGTCTGTTTTCTTCCGCTTCATCCGTTGCCGGGTCGCGGGGGCAGCAGTCTAAGCAGAGACGCCTAGACTTCCCTATCCACACACACTTCCTCCAGCTCGTCCGGGAGGACCCCAAGGCGTTCCCAGGCCAGCTGAGAGACATAGTCCTTCCAGCGTGTCCTGGGTCTTCCCCGGGGCCTCCTCCCGGTGGGACGTGCCCAGAACACCTCCCCAGGGAGGCGTCAGGAGGCATCCGGAACAGATGCCCGAGCCACCTCAACTGGTTCCTCTCGACGTGGAGTAGCAGCGGCTCTACTCTGAGCTCCTCCCGTGTGACTGAGCTCCTCACCCTATCTCTAAGGGAGCGCCCAGCCACTCTGCGGAGGAAGCTCATTTCGACCGCTTGTATCCGCGATCTCGTTCTTTCGGTCATTACCCAAAGCTCATGACCATAGTTGAGGGAGGGAACGAAGATTGACCGGTAAATCGAGAGCTTTGCCTTTCGGCTCAGCTCCCTCTTTACCACAACGGTTTCGATACAGCGACCGCATCACTGCGCACGCTGCACCGATCCGCCTGTCAATCTCATGCTCCATCCTTCCCTCACTCGTGAAGAAGACCCCGAGATACTTGAACTCCTCCACTTGAGGAAGGACCTCTCCACCCACCTGAAGAGGGCATGGCACCTTTTTCCGGTCGAGCACCATGGCCTCGGATTTGGAGGTGCTGATTCTCATCCCAGCTGCTTCACACTCGGCTGTAAACCGTCCCAGTGCATGCTGCAGGTCCTGGTTCGTTGGAGCCAACAGGACAACAACGTCCGCAAACAGCAGAGATGAAATCCTGTGATCCCCAAACCGGACCCCCTCCGGCCCCTGGCTGCGTCTAGAAATTCTGTCCATAAACACAGTGAACAGAACCGGTGACAAAGGGCAGCCCTGGCGGAGGCCAACATGCACCGGGAACAGGTCTGACTTACTGCTGGCAATGCGAACACAGCTCTGGCTCCAGTCATACAGGGACCGAACAGCCCTCAGCAGAGGACCCCGGACCCCGTACTCCCGGAGAACCCCCCAAAGAACACCCCGGGGAACACGGTCGAACGCCTTCTCCAAATCCACAAAGCACATGTGGACAGGTTGGGCGAACTCCCATGAACCCTCAAGTATCCGATGGAGAGTATAGAGCTGGTCCAGTGTTCCGCGGCCGGGACGAAAACCACACGGCTCCTCGTGAATCCGAGATTCGACCATTGGCCGTAGCCTCCTCTCCAGTACCTTGGAGTAAAGGCTGAGGAGTGTGATCCCACGATAATTGGAACACACCCTCCGGTCCCCGTTCTTATAGAGAGGGACCATCACCAAAATGTTTTTATTTTATTTATTTTTTTATTTTTTTATTTTTTATTTTCCACCCCCATCAATGTAGGCACGGTAATGTGCATGGCATAATTCCTGGAGGCTTAGCAGCAAGGGCAAATGACCGAAATGTCGTACAAGATAAGGCCCCACCACCGGGGAGAGAGCAATAGCGGCAAAACAAATCAAAGATGAATGCACATGGACGCGCCGATCACACAACACCGGTAAGAGCCGGCCCACTCCGAGAGTGTACATGTAAGCAGCTGAGGACAGCTGCCACATTGTGCAGGGGAGGAGCAGAGCGGAGGTAGACAAGACATGGGCCGAGAAGTTGCATGGGGAAAACGAGCGCACGGGCAAAGAGTGGCATGGGAAGAGCAAGCGCCGTGGAGTTCAGTTTGAGGAAAGAAAATTCCAGCCTGCCATCCGGTACACGGCCGTAGTCCAGGAAGAGGGGTGAAAAACGAATGGCCTGCAGTCCAACAAGCCAGTCAAAACTAGCAGCCCGCAGTCCAATAAACCGGGCCAAAACCAACGGCTTGTAGTCCAAACACGGGGCCAAACTGACGGCCTGCAGTCCAAAGCATAGGATTAAAACTAACTGCCCGCAGTGCAGTACACTGGGTAAAAGCTAACGGCCTGCAGTCCAAACAAGGGGGATAAACGAGAGTAATAATAATAAATATGCCACCCCCTAATACTGAGAAGAAAACTAAACGACCAAGTTACTTTCTAAAAAGAAACCCAAGCTACTTCTCGGATCTAATATCAATAAAACAAATGGTGCAGCCAAAGCAAACGGAATACAGACCTTGGACCTCGAGGACTTTAGCGATTACTATTATCATCTTCAATACACAATGAAACCGGACCCAGCAAATCCAAAAAAAAGGAAAAAGGCAGACTCGTCAACCGACAATAACCGAACAAATGCACACTATCACCAAAGAAAAAAATAATAATGAAAGAATACAATACAATTACACAATACAATACAATGTATTCGTGTATAGCCCTAAATCACAACATAAGTCATCTCAGAGGACTCAACAAAACCATTGAAATCACCAACACAGATGGTGATTTCAATCAACAGTTAAAACACAGAAAGGATATAGAACACATGTAAAAAAACAGAACAGTGTCCATACATGTTGTAGAATGTTAAAGTGTCCTGGATCATCACCACATCCTTTTTGTTGGACACTAACTATCCAACAGACCCTCCTGCATCGGCAAGGAAAAACTCATAAGAAAAACTTTAACCATGTTGATGTGAGCTCACACTTCGGTGGCTTTACACAGTATGTAGATTGTCCTACAAGACACAACAGCATATTAGATCTTTGCTTTGTGAATGTGAAGAATGCCTATGGTGTAGTGACACTGCCCCCCCTGGGCAAGTCTGATCACAATCTTATTTCTCTAAAGCCCATATATAGGCCAAATGTGATGAGAATGCCCATAGTCCGTAGATCATTCAGGCAATGGACAACAGAGGCCAGTGATGCTCTGAGGGACTGCTTTGAGAAGACCGACTGGAATATACTTCTGGGCTCAGGGGAGGACATTAACAAGGCTGTGGACAGTGTCACAGACTACATCCACTTCTGTACCAATGTAGCAGTGCCAAAGAAAACAGTCCGCTGTTTTCCAATTTACAAACCTTGGATCACAAGTGACAACAAACACACTTTGAACCTAAAGAAACAGGCTTTTAAGGCAGGTGACAAGGAACAAGTGAGAACTGTCCAACACGACCTGAAGAGGACATTGAGATTGACCTGTCCTGATCCCCCCAGTGCCGGCGGCTACACCACTTCTGCTGTGACCTGTCCTGCTCCCCCCAGTGCCGGCGGCCGCCCCACCTCTACTGTGGCCTGTCCTGCTCCCCCAAGTGCCGGCGGCTACACCACCTCTGCTGTGACCTGTCCTGCTCCCCCCAGTCCCGGCGGCTCCATCACCTCTGCTGTGACCTGTCCTGCTGCCCCCAGTGCCGGCGGCTACACCACCTCTGGTGTGACCTGTCCTGCTCCCCCCAGTCCCGGCTGCTACACCACCTCTGCTGTGACCTGCTCTGCTCCTCTCGGCGGCTGCACCACCTCTGCTGCTGTGTCCTTCTTCATCGTGGAGGATGTCCGGGTGGAGCTAAAGAAGCTCCAGGGGAGGAAGTCTGCTGGGCCTGATGGGACAACGCCAAGGCTCCTGAAGGAATGTGCAGCGGAGTTAGCTGAGCCTCTCCTTACCATATTTAACAAGAGTCTTCAGACTGGATGTGTCCCTGTCCGTTGGAAAACCTCCTGCCTGATACCCGTCCCCAAGGTAGCAAGGCCGACAGGATGCAAGGACTACAGACCAGTGGCAATAACATCTGTCATAATGAAGACTTTTAAGAGGCTAGTACTCCGACTGCTCATGCAGCAGGCTCTTGACCCCCTGCAGTTTGCCTATTGGGAGAACATGGGAGTGGATGACGTGGTCCTCTTCATGCTCCATTGATCCATGTCCTTCCTGGATGGCCCAGGAGGTTATGTGAGGCTGATGTTCTTTGACTTCTCCAGTGCATTTAACACCATCCAACCTCTCTTACTGAGGGAGAAACTGGAGAAGATTGGAGTTGATCCCATCTTTACCAACTGGATTTACAACTACCTCACTGTGAGGTCACAGTATGTCAGGTTAGGGAAGAGCGTGTCTGGGACTGTTGTGAGCAATACGGGAGCACCACAGGGTACCGTTCTGGCTCCCTTCCTCTTCACTATTTACACTGCAGACTTCGCACACAACTCTGCTACATGTCATGTACAAAAATACTCGGACGATACCGCTGTTGTGGCATGTGTGAAGGGGGGGGATGAAGCAGAGTACAGGGAGGTGGTGGCTGCCTCCTCAGACTGGAGTGAGAGAAATGGACTGATCCTCAATGCGTCCAAGACCAAGGAGATGTTAATCAACTTTCACAGGAGCCCTTCCCATCGACCGGTCACAGTAAATGGACAGGACATTGAAATGGTTCAATCCTATAAATATCTGGGAGTCCACCTGGACCACAGACTGGACTGGTCAGCTCAGGCCAATGCCATCTACAAAAAAGGTCAGAGCAGACTTTTCTTTCTGAGTAGACTGAGGTCCTTTGATGTGAGCAGTCAAATGTTGCACATCTTTTACCAGTCTGTGGTAGCTAGAGCTGTGTTCTTCGGGGTTGCGTGTTGGGGTGGCAGTCTGACCTCGAGAGACAGTAACCGGATTGACAGGCTGATCAAGAAGTGCGTCTCTGTGGGAGCTGTGCTGGAGAGAAGGATGAGGGCTCTAATGCAGGGCATCCTGGGTAACTCCAGAGACCCTCTGCATGACACTATGGCCGCTCAGAGGAGTAATCGCAGCAACAGGCTCCTATCGCTACGCTGCCGAACGGAACGTTTCAAAAGATCCTTTGCTCCTTCGGCTGTCAGACTGTATAACAAACCTGACTGACTGTCAAACCTGACTAACTGTACTACAACAACCAGAAAAGAGCTGCTGGACACCTGAATTTCCTATGGGGGATCAATAAAGTATTTATCTATCTATAGATCCAGGACCTAAGCTACATAACGAGGACGTGAACAGGTCCGGTGCAGGAGTGAAGCACTATCAGGCGGGTCGGGCAGGGCAGACTACAAGTGTAGATGGAGGAGGCCAGGTTCAGAGGTCCCGTTGTCGTACCATGAAACAGACAATGGGACAATGGGTGAATAGCAATGAACAAACTACAGTCAAAATCCTAATAATGTAAAACAAATATAGTAGGAAGGAAGAGCTCAAGTTACCATACTTCTCCCAGCAAACTGACTCCCTATGCAGCTTGACTGACAGTCTAAGATGTTTAGCCTTCCCTAAGTCTTACCTTCCTGACCATATGCTAAACTAAAGAGGACTGTTTTAGTCTAGCCTAGAACATAGGGTTGAAGAGGCAGCGGACCGGGTCCCATATACGCAGCCAGTGAAGTGATTTTAACACCGGAGTTATGTGCTCCCTCCTTTTGGTGCCTGTTAAGATCCTTGCTGCTGTATTTTGAACAAGCTCTTCAAAGCTCTTCAAAGAAGTTTTAGGGCACACTGCCATCAAAGCGTTACAGTAGTCAAGCATAGAGGTGACAAAGGCATGGATTAGTTTTTCCGCGTCGCTTTTAGAAAGAATATTCCTGATTTTAGCGATGTTCCGCAAGCGGAAATACGCCGTTTTAGTTGTTTGGTTTATATAAGCCTAAAAGGAAAGTTCTTCGTCAATGACGACTCCAAGATTCCTCACGGTGTTGCTGGGCACTATACTGACATTATCGAGAGTGATTACCTGGTCAGCGGGGGAGTCACGCAGGCTCTTTGGACCGAGTAGGATTACTTCTGTCTTCTCCAGGTTAAGAAATAGAAAGTTAATGCTGCACTAACTGACTTTATTTTCGTATTCATTACAAAAATGCTATCCATATCCATGTAGTGCATTGGGATATACGTCCTTTTGAAGAATAAGTAGTGCAGATTTGTGCTGGTTTGACATTATATTTTAGATCGATATTTGATGAAATTTTTAGTAAAACAAGCGCACCTAGCTTTAGCACTCCAGTCATATAGATATCTGTGCGTCACGACAGCATTGTCTTGACTACCATTGGCCGATTTGGATGTCAATCAAATCATCTTGTAGCCAATAATCTCAGGTTTCAGGCGATGTGTCAGACTTCTAGCTTCCTCCCACTGTTCCAGTCATATTTGAATGCGTAAGAGAGGAAGACAGAGCCTTTTTCACGGAGAACACGCGCTATAACTTTATAAATAGTAGCTTTTCTGCAAAAATTTCAATATCTGGAAAAAATGCTATTTATAGCAAGAGTAATAGCCAAAAAATTATATAAATGGATTTTGGGTGTAAAAACATTGATAATTTGCATGTAAAACACTTTGGCACAGTTGGCACAAAAATGGACCACTTGTGCCGAATGTGCCCATTAGTTACAAATAAGCCCCCAGCATCAAAATAGTTCCACCTAAAGGTCTAACATTTCATACAGGTGTTTCCAACCCCACAAACATCTGCTCTGGTGAGTTTCAACATCATACCATAAAGTATGTATTCAGGAGAACCTTTTGAAATTGCCTTTTTTTTTTTTTTTGAGACAAAAAAAACTAACTTTGACTCATGTTTGAGAAGGTGTAGTGCAGACTGTGTCTTTCCTAACAAACTGTAACATACATTTCCAGAAACTAGAAGGTGTTACTTTTCAAATGAGTCCTCATAGCACAAAATCAGACACAAGATGTCCACACAATAAGCATTTCCATTTGGGTATCATAATTCTATATGCAACTATTGATGGTCCATGTGTTGAGACGATGTGGAGCGATTTTCAGCCAAATTAATGAAACGGCCGCGGCTGGTTTGATGTTTGAGCGAGGTGTACTTTTCAGAGATTTAACAATTTT